GGATAGCCTGGATCCAAGGGTGCTTGGCTGTATCGGACTGAAGAACTGTTAATACGCTGGCCGAATCAGAAAATATGGCGACCGGTTTGTTGGTAGGCGAGGTGGCGGCTACTAGTATGGCCGCAGCTTCAGCAGAGAAAACGCTGCAAGGGTCCAGAAGTCGGTACAAGGTGCGTAACTCCGGATCGGATATCCCAATACCTACCCTTCCGCCAGTTCGAGATCCGTCAGTGTATCGTGCTAGGTGATTTGGGTACTTGGTTCATTGTAGTTCGGCCAACGATCTCACTAGTGCGGGGGAGTTGGTTCCCGCCCTAAATCTGTTCTTTATCGCCAAGTCGATAGAAAGTCCGGGTGAGTTCCAACCCCTGGCTCCACACCAGTGGACCCTGGCTACCGGGGGGAGTTCCAGGTCGGCGGCGTCCTTCAGGAGTTTGTTCGCCTCCATAAGGAGGGACACTCCATCACTTGTTCCAGTTGTCTTCTCTGCGAAGCCAACTGCCCTCTTGCAATCGGTAGCAATGATAAATTTGTCAAAGGGTAACCTTCCGCTCTCCACACAAGCTGCAAGCCTGGGGGTGGAGGGGAGGAGACCTGATGTGATTCTAATGGCCTGATAGTATACCGGGGACAGTTGGGTAATCATCCTGTCGGCAGCTAGGCATATCGTTAATTCTAAACTTCTAAACTTAAGACTTCAGCTAAGGCTGGACCCAATGGTGTTTATTTGTTTATTTGGTTCTACATCAACAGACTGGGTTTAGTTCTAATGATGGATTAATCAATACTAGGAAATACAATATAGTCAAGAAGTAACAAGCTGCAAAGGCCGTGAAGTCCAACTTAATTCCTAAAAATATATCACGGAATCTCTGACGCAGCCTCTCGCGAGCCAAGTGAAAATCAAATAAGGAAGCAACACGATTGAAAACCCTTTGAAGCCCATTGATAGCACCATACGAACTATAGTTTGTACGACGAAAAGGTGTCCTCAGCATTGCGTTGTTACGGAGTGCTCGTGGTTGAACGTTAACGTCGATTTGTTGTGGAATAGAAGGACAATCGATTCTGCCCTGTAGAATGTCTGCCACAAACAGGGCCCTTGTCGTATCTCTTCGACTCCACAAACGATCCAGGTGAATTAACTGGCACCGACTTTCGTAGCTTGGAAGGCGATGAGGATCCCTCCTAGGCAAGCGTCGAAGGGCAAACCAGATGAATCGTCGTTGAATAGACTCTACTCTTTGTACACTTTGTATACAGGGCAGGACAACAGTAGATGTCAGTGAAACTTTTAGCTATCCTGAAAATGAATCGATCACGTACGAGATATGCTGGCTGTATGTGAGTTGACAATCTAAGATGACTCCCAGATCCTTAATGTGATTCACACGATGTACGTCAACGCCTTCTAGGTTATAACTGAATGTAATTGGATGTTTCTTCCGTGAGTACGTGATTATTGAACATTTTGTTGGATTTACAACCATGCGGTTCAATTGGCACCAATTAGCAAAAGCGTTGAGTAGGCGTTGGAGAAGGTAGCAGTCAGCGATGGCTCGGATTCGAAGATAGATTTTCATGTCGTCTGCGAACGACAGTCGTGGACCGTCGAGGACGAAATTAACGTCGTTGAAATACACAAAAAAATATCAACGGGCCGAGGTGGCTACCTGGCGGAATACCCGAAGTGACAGGGAACGAAGGAGATCGGCAGTCGTCGATTGCAACTCCCAATTGACGATCAGATAGATAGGATGCGAACCATCGTAGGAGACTGCCGTTTATACCGAGCCTATCCAGTTGGGCGATCGCTATAGGATGGTTCAACTTGTCAAAGGCGGCTGATAGATCAGTGTAGATGACATCTGTTTGCACATGGTCTGTCATACTCTCCGTAATGTACGAAGTGTTCCGTCGATTATGCTTAAAAAGAACATCACTTGTCTTTTAGATCCACTGCGCCGCATATTCCAGCTCTCTCTTTCCGTCTTGCTGGAAAAATGCGGATGTGTTTCCTGTTCATAAAAAGGTAAGCAAACGCGACGTAAACAACTACCGGGGAATCACGTCGCTGAGTGCTGTATCAAAACTTTTTGAATTGATTGTCATAGAGTCCCTAAATGCGCATTGCAAGCAATATCTAAGTATAGATCAACAGGGATTCATAACTGGGCGTTCCACAACTACGAACCTGCTGTGCCTAACGTCTTACATCACAGACAGTTTGATTGCTCGCAACCAAACGGACACAGATCTTACGGCAGCCTTCGATAAGCTGAACCACGAAATTGCGATCGCTAAACTTGATAGGCTAGGGATCGGTGGAGCGCCAACTGACAGTAACTTTGGGTACTTGTCGCTCAGCAAGCTTCTGCGCAAAGTCCGGTATACCTTAGGGTAGCCATTGGTATTTCTCCTTTACTTCGACGACGTTCACCATGTTATCACAGGGCTACGATTATCGTTTGCAGACGATCTGAAAGTTTTTCTGCGCATCCGCTCACTCGCCGACTGCCGTTCTCTCTAGTCTAAACCGACTGGTGGTCAACCCAGCTAAGTGTACAATCATTCAGTGGCGTCACCCTAACCTCAATCTACCTGTTCAACAACTCTCAAAACGTAAACAAACAAAACAATATTGGTTCTAATGGATACAAATCAGTGAAACTAGAAGACCCTATGCATTTTGAAACTGATTTGAATGTAAACATGACCCTAAATAACGTTTTCAAAGTTGTTGAACAGGTAAAAAGTGAGGTTACGCGACGCCACTGCAATCATTACTTTCTCACGCAAGAAACAACCGATTATTTTCAACTACAAACTACTAGGCACGACTATCGAACGGGTGCATTGCGTGAAAGACTTAGGCGTGTTTCTGGACTCAAAGCTGACATACTCACACCATATATCGTATGTCGTCGACAAAGCGTCCAGAACTCTTGGCTTTGTCTTCAGGATTACTAAACTTCACAGACATTTACTGCCGTTCTACGCATAACTGTCCCATGTTCTATGCAATCCTTATGCATCGTGGGACTCTTATGCGTATAACGGCAGTTTACTGCTTGAAATCGCTTTATTGCTCTCTCGTACGATCTACGTTGGAATACTGCTTTGCAGTCTGAAGCAAATTGAATCTAACAGGCGAAAGTTCGTGCCAACATTCATCAACGGCGTGGACACCAAGCTACAACTTGACACAGCGAGCGACATCACGGTAATCTCGAAGCAAACCTGGAACTATCTGGGCAAACCTGCAACCAAGAAACCAACCATTGAAGCAATGAACGCGTCAGGCAAGCCGCTCCATTTGATGGGTGAGTTCGAGTGCGAATCAACGGCAAAACTGCACAAGGAATAATCTGAACCTGCTAGGCATCGACTGGATCGAACTCTTCGCGCTGTGGTCATTTCCTATCGATTCGGTTTCCAACCAAGTGAAGACAAGCTTTTCCTCAAACCTAATTTCTGTCCCAAGCGGCCAGTTCCTTTCAACACAATTCCATTGGTCGATGCTGAAATTACACGATTGGAATCATTGGGTATCATCGAGCCTATCGATTTCTCTGAGTGGACTGCTCCAATCGTGGCTGTACGTAAACCAAACGGTCGGGTTCGTATCGGTGCGGACTATTCAACAGGACTCAACGCGGCGTTAGAAGCTAATCACTACCCGCTTCCCACTTCGGAGGAAATTTTCGCCCAGCTCAATGGCAATTCCGTATTTTTCGTATATTCGACCTCTCCGATACATACTTGCAGCTCGAGGTGGATGACGATTCAAAAAAGCTGCTATACGCATCGGGGTTTATACCGGTTCAATCGCCTCGACTGGTTGATGGAATGATGGAATGGAATATCTGGCGTCCGCTCTTTCATCGACCGGACCTGGAGTCACATGCAGCATCACTCAACAAGCTTTTCCTACGTCTCAAGGAATATGGATTCCACGTCAAGCAAATCCGCTTCTTGGGACACATCGTGGACCGACAAGGTATCCGTCCAGACCCCGATAAAATCAAAACCATCACTGCAATGCCACCTCCATCCAACATTTCTGAGCTGCGATCGTTTCTGGGCGCGGTCAACTTCTACGGAAGATTCGTGCGCAACCTACAAGAATTGTGCTATCCCATGGACAAGCTTCTCAAGAAAGAAACGAAATGGAAATGGACGTCCGAGTGTCAGCAAGTTTTCGAAAAGTTTAAGACAGTTCTTCAATCAAACTTGCTGTTGACACACTACGACCCCAAGCTGCCGATCATCGTGGCAGCAGACGCATCAAGCACTGGCATCGGTGAAGTAATTTTTCACCAGTTTCCCGATGGCATCATGAAGATTGTGCAACACGCTTCGAGGACACTTGCACCCGCAGAACGTAATTATGGACAATCTGAAAAGGAAGGACTTGCGTTAGTCTACGCATTGACGAAGTTCCATAGGTATTTGCTCGCATGACATTTCACATTGTTGACCGACCACAAGCCATTGCTGTCTATTTTCGGTTCGAAAAAGGGCATTCCACTGCACACTGCGAACAGATTGCGACGCTGGGCACTCACGATGGTCAATTACGACTTCGAAATTCAACATGTGTCCACCAACGACTTCGGATGTGCATATTTGTTATCCCGGCCCATCGACCGAACCAATCCACCAGAGGAAGAATTTGTGATTGCAGCACTCACCTTGGAAGAAGATTTGGTAGGCATCCTGGCAGACACAACGGAAAAAGTACCAGTTTCTTTCGCAGCACTGCGAAAAGCTACAGCAACAAATAGCACTCTTCAAACCGTTGCAAAGCATATCCATGCTGGTTGGCCCAACAAAACTCTCTTCGATGCTGAAATTCAACCCTACAACAGACGAAAATCGCTCAGTGTAATCGACGGCTGCGTGATGTTCGGCGATAGAGTCGTCGTTCCCAACATGTTTCGACGAAAGATTAGGTTCGTATGAAGGCAATTGCCAGAAGCTTTGTATACTGCCCCGGTATGGATAACGAGATCGAGGAATTGTGTTCCACAGCTGGTAAAGCTCCGACGAAAACGACACTAGAATCGTGGCCCATTCCAAGTAAACCCTGGTACCTGATTCGCATCGACTACGCAGGACCTGTAGATGGTGGCTTCTTTCTGGTGGTGGTCGACCCGCACTCCAAGTGGCCTGAGGTGCACGTAACCAAATCGACAACAGCGAAAGCCACCATCAAACTATTGAACCAGTCATTCACTACGTTTGGTGTACCCGAGATAATCGTATCCGACAATGGCACTCAATTTTCAGGACACGAATTCCAAGTATTCTGCACCAATCTCGGTATTCGGCACATTGGCTGAAAGATTTGTGGACGCCTTCGGAAAATTCGTTCGGATGGAGTAGAAACGCTTGAGGAAGCGCTGCAAACATTCATGCAAGTATATCGCTCAACTCCAACCAGCGATCTAGGCGGAAAATCCCCTGCTGAAACGATGTTCGGTAGGTCGATATGCACCGTCTCATCGCTGCTGTAGTCTAGCAAGCACACCACCACATCCAGAGACAGACAAAAGCAGAACGACGCTTTCAACAGGAAACACGGTGTGTTTAAGAAGAGTTTCCAGCATGGCGATTTAGTGTATGGCAAGGTTCGTTAAGCAAATTCAGCGACGGTCATCGAGAAGGTGGGAAACGTTAGCTACAACGAGATAGGCATAGGTTGATCCAATCGCATGCTAACCAGCTGAAGAGTCGAGTTCAAGAAACCAGTCGTCCATCAGAACATTCGACGCCACTTTCGGTTTTCTTCGACGAGTTTGGATTGACCGTTCCAGCAGCAACCATTCCTCCAGAAGAACCTGCAACCTGCACCGCATTTAGAGGAACAATTTTTGGACGACTCAGAAATTCTGGAGTTAACGGATTCAGATTTCTCCAATCCAGCATTAGGCGCCGAATCTGAAGGTATTGACGATCTAGAACCAACAGCTACAATTGAGGAGGCAGCCCATCCGGGAACTCCGCTCTTGGAAAGAGGACGGCGTATGATTCAACTTCCGGCCCGTTTCAAACTCTACTGGATGACAAAACCTTAGGGGGAAATGTTGGATCATAGCAATCACTGAAACACTATTGTTCCATCCAAGTAATCACGATGTTCCATTCAAGTAATCGCAGCAACCTACAGCTGCGACCGAGATGGAAAAAAATAGTGATTCGAAGTGTAGATGTCAACCTGAATAAACGTATAGTTAGAAACACTCAAACTTTCTTTATTCTTTGAGAAGAACACTTCAGTTGGCGACGAGGATTTTTCTGGACGCTCACAAGTTCAAGAAATTCCAGAATCGAACCGAGGAAGGATGGCGGCGACAAACGAAGAACTCCAAGCAGCGATTTTGCAGCTTCTTCAGCGGTTGGCCGTTCCACAAGCAACGAACCCAGAGCAGGTTTTGGAATCCCTGTCGACGAACATCAGCGAGTTCTGCTTCGATCCGGAGAACGGCACCACATTCGAAAAATGGTTTGCCCGTTACTCGGATTTGTTTGAAAGCGACGCACGAAGTCTGGACGACGCAGCAAAAGTTAGGCTTCTGCTCCGGAAGTTGGACACGTCCTCTCACAGTCGCTACGTCAACTACATCCTTCCAAAACTACCAAAGGACGTCACTTTGGCGTTACCGTCAAGACACTCACAAAGATCTTCGGCAGACATACCTACGTATTCCACAAACGCTACCAGTGCATGCAGCTACTCAAGTCCGAGGCCGACGACATAATCACCTATGGCGGAAAAGTCAACAGGGCATGTGAAGGGTTCGAGCTCCAGAATTTGAAGATTGATCACTTCAAGTGCTTGATTTTCGTCTGTGGTCTGTGTGGACATTCGAGGAAGGCTTCTATCCCGGATTGAAGGTGAAACGGCTGATGCTCCGGTGACAATTCAAACTCTGATCGACGAGTTCCAGCGGCTCGTCAACATCAAGTCGGACACTACGATGATCGAACATCCATCAAGTTCGAAGAATTCGGTCCATAGCATTTCGGAGAGGAAACCCGGAAACCAGCATCGTCCACTGAAAACGGAAAGCAAGTCCACTCCTCGTACTCCATGCTGGCAGTGTGGTCAGATGCACTACGTCCGTGACTGTCCATTTTCTGATCATCTCTGCAAGGTATGTAACCGCAGCGGTCATAAAGAAGGCTACTGTAGCTGCATCAAGAAGTCTTCAAGCGACTCTTCAACTCAACCTCGAGAGAAGAAGCAGTTCCAGAAGAAGGCCGGTCCAGATTTCAAGCCAAGGGAATTTGACAAGTATTGACAAGTATTGAGGCATGATACGTTAGACTTGAATAAAGTTAGTCTTGGGATCTATTTAAAACTAAATGGAAATTTGCTAACATCTCTAGTATTTATCAAGCTATCTTTCTATTCCGGAACTACTTTTCGGACACATCAGATACCCCTACCTGCTAGTGGTGTTAGTAAGCGTATGCGAGCTACCAGTTACGCCTAATCGACGATCAATTGCATTGTTTACAAAAGCTGATACGTCCCTTCGAAAAAGTAATCGAGAAATTACTTGAAAGGACTACTCAGATTTCACTTCAAATTTTCTCAACAATTCTACCTTTGGAATTCTCCTCTGAATTCCCTTGAAATTATGCCTAGAGTTCCTTGGAAATTCTCATACAGCCTCTCAACACATCTCACAATCTTTTAGAACCTTTTTTTTTGAAAACGATTGATTGGGTAGTTATTAAACGGCTTCATCCAGTTAATCAATCCAAATCATTGGTTCCCCCTGTAGACATCTGTTTTGCGTAAGAGGACCTTTTTAACCTCCGAAAAAACGATCTTCCAGAAGATTAAACAAGTGAATAAGTCCCGACAACAAACTATCAACTTTGCAGCTTGATCCTGTTGACGACAAACGTGGTCGAGTGTGGCTATAGTGCTGATGGTTCGCCACCACGGATGGATTGGTTCAACAATGTGAGTTCCTGTCCCCCTCTAGTCTGAACAGCCTATCATATTAAGAATTGTTTTTGATAAGGGACCACTGCAAGCAGAAAGCATACTAATCACTAAACACCTAATAATTACTGCCACAAGAAACACAAGCTAACCAACAGAACACGTTCCTCCTGACCGCAAGTGGGATCAAGGACACGAGTCTTGACAACGCGAAACAGTAGTGGATAGCCACGTTCCTCTCAGGGAATTAGAAACATCATGTAAAAACCGGTTCCCGTCGGTCGGTACTTGCGTTGAAACAGGTATCTTCCTGTCACTTCTGCGTCTCCATCGCCGGGATGCAATTAGAGACGCGATATTTCCCCCCTCCCCTGCGACAGTTGTGTGGTTTCAATCAAAACAACATCGACCAAGTACCCCCAAATGTGGTTTAAGTTTCTTCAAACCAGTGCCCGGGCAAGACCTTTCGCTGAGAGACAAAACAAACTTTCTCGAATGCAACATCACGTGATGGTATTTTCCGCGGTCGCGGAAGAGTGGAATAAACAACTGAACTTCTTGAGCATCATTTTGACTGTGCATGCAAGCGCAGATCTCCCACTGTCCCCCTCCAATTGTATGAATCTCATATACATAAGAAACGACTGCGGGAGAAAACTTTCTTCTTTGTGAAGCTTTTCTCTATTTGGTTCCGGCCAAGCGCAGCAACGTTTTTTTTTATCGACTCCATAATATTGTGCTGATGCAGCAGCAGCAACTAGCAAGACGGCACAGACAGGTTGTTGATTGTTTACATTCACCAATGGCATTCGGACGCGGAGTTGGCCATAATAGAAACGTGCTTTTAGCTGTTTCTGTTGTGATGCCTTGCTTCTTTTACTGTTGACCACGATGGGGCCTAGCCTTTTCGGGGTCTTCATAGGCATGGTAATCAAGTTAGAGTAGTGAAATAATGATAACGTTTATCAGGGTCTGGGTAGCGATAACTACTGAACTCATTGACTGATTGTCGTTGGTGTTTGAAGAGACACACCTACCGAGTAGTCCCAGAACGACTTCACTAATGCTCGAACATAAATATAGATTTTAGTCTCGCCCATCATTAGTGGAAAAAGTGTGCTCAAATTCTCCGAGCTTTCTCGATGGTGGCAGGTTTTAAGCCGATCATAGATACACATATAGGTAGCGAGCGAGAGCGCGGGGTGATTGACCTTTTCCGCGCACGGTTAACGCGTTCGTTTGTCCATTTCCGACGGCGGGTTTGTGAAATCACGATTTACGTCACCAAGCCGCTTGGTCTAGAATTCAGTCTGTGTTACAATGACCCCATTCTAGAGGAACAATTCAGTCCGACCATCCGAAAGGGTGCCACTACTTCCATTTGCAGGCCATTCTTACCGGGAAGGAACACACCCAGCATTGATTGCCCTGTCGATCGATCGCGATTATGCCATCGCCATTGTCTACCGAAATCGGTGAAGCACATCCAGTTTGGGCTGCCGTGGTACGCAACTATAGCGTCGCGTCTGAAAACATTAATGTTCACGATATCCGGTCCTTGAGTTTTGCGAACCTGGCCTTCAAAAAGATGGAGGCGGTATTTTATGACACACCAAACAGTGCTGCTTTCGCAGGCCACTTTTATGAGACTACCTGCGATGTCCGTTCAGCCCCATTTTCTCGTATTTATATTTACGTGTGTCGCTTTCTCTAACAACATGCCATTCATTCAACGACCCCTCGTCGACTTCCTTTTGGCTAGCTGCTTGCCTGACATGATGATGATTATCAGGTTGCCGTGGATACAGACGGAAAACTGTTATGATCCTTCCTTTTCTAACAAACATAAACCCCGCTGGCGCACCTCCGCATTTTTCACAATTAAATTTTGATCATGCTTCCGTAAAAATCTGAAAATCTGCAGGTTTCCTAAAAAAAAAAATCCTATGCCCCATGATTGCAACATAAAAATCTTAATTTTCTCATATTTCCATCATGCTCGCAACAACGACGTAGCTCAGGCCGCCATCTTTGTGTCTCGCTCGACGACCAAAGCAGCAGGGCAGATTGTGCAGTGTGCTGCCATCCTTTTTCTACACTCGGCTCCCGGCTGTTTCCACTCGAAAAAAAAAAAACTACAAACCAGCCCTTCGCCCCGCACATCGCTCATTAATGAGCAAAATCAGCGAAAACAAATTCTTCCCGTAGAGTAAAATGTGCGCCTAAACTAAAAATAAAATCCGCGCTTTTTCATTTTACTGCCAAACCGTTTCTTCTTCTTTTTTTCATTCAGCGCCTCATCTCGTTTCAACATCAGAACAAGTTCCTTTACCTTCTTTCTTCGTGTGTCGTTCGTCCTCCGGTTTCGCTGCTGCCTGCTCCAAATCCTTCGATTCTCCTTCGTTATCCAACCTTCACGGTACAGTTTGCAACACTAGGTAGGTATTCCTCTAATGATTCTAAAAAAATGCTTTTTGCAATGTTATCCTCTGGAACAAAACTCCACACACAAAGGATTATTTTCACCAACTTTTTTCCGACTTCTTTCCACTAGAAAATATGCTGCGCCGCATCTACCAGCTCTCACACACAGCAGCACAAACCGTTGCCCTTCTTCTGAGATGGGATTCTTCTATGCATGCGATGATCTCGCGAAAATGTGGCTACTTTTGCTTTATCACACAGCACGTACGCAAAATCCGGATTAGAAGAATACACTTCGCAAAAATTAAGATTACTATTCTATGGACAGCCAGTGCCAAACCGAAATTCTAAATCCGCGGAAAATTTGCCTCTTTTTTACCCGTGCACAGGACAACTCAACGAAACGACGCTCACAACACAACTGAAATCGAAGAATGAAATTTTTCCGGTGCCTTTCCGCCGCTCCCGTTGCACGAATGAGAGCGGGTGAGAGAGTAGCGCTCTCTTCTCTCTGCTGTTCCGTCTAAATAACCGTTTGAAAGAGGAACTCACGAGCTATAAATCCAAAGGGCGTATGAAGGACCAACCGGTTTATCGGTAACGGTAATCACTTTTGCTCGCACTTTTGTTGTTTTTTTTACCGATTCAGAGACGAACACCAAAATGGGAGTGTATTATACACTGATAAATTAAACTATTCCTATTTTGCTGGGAATTTATTCAATTTGACCTTAAACTCAGTTTAATCCGAGGTTTAATCAACAATCAATACGAAACTAACGATTTTAAATTGGCTCACTACTTGACTAGCCTATTGGTCCCAAGCAAACGATTAACGTACGCCATTCTAGTCGAAATTCTAGTACTACGCACTGTACGTTTTGATTCGCTATGAAAGTTTGACAGATAAAATGAGGGATTATTGGTTTTTCCTATGTTTTGAAACTATTGTTCTGCCCGACAACAACTCAGCAGCACGAGACTCCTTGAACTATGTCTCAGAGTCGACGCACTACTCGGCAAACTGGAGGGGCTACGCGGATGAAAAGGCACTCAAGCTTTCAATTAAACTGACACACAACGCGGATCAATTTAAACACTGTATTTTCTCCAATTACCGATAGTGTGGATTGTGTGGTGTTGTTCGATTTTCTTGGCACATACCCTTGATGACGATGGCGACAACGACGACTGCAGACCAGCGAGCGCTCGCTGTGGTTCCGGAATGATCCTTAAAGGCCGATCTTCTCGGCAAGATGGCGGTACCACCGCTCGGTGAAATTCCGGTACAATTCCGACAATGGCGGACGAAGCGAGGCTGACCGAACGTCGGCTGTCGTGCAATGGTGGGTTGGTTTTACCGGGGCTGGTATAGCGGTTTGTGGAGATGGTTCACAGGTTGCACAGGTGCTTCCTTCTGACGAAGCCGGTCGACGACGGCAAGGCCACCCTGTGTCGAACCGGGAAGGGAAATTCTCCTTGGCGTTTAGGGCCTTCAGCCCGAGAACGATGTCCTTTACGATAAGGTCAAGGTAACTAAATGTCACCTAGACCGTAGCGTGCAATGGCGGTCTTTGACTCGCCAACCAGAAAACCATTTAATTGGTTGAAAAGAAAGGTCCTGAATCAGCTGAATTGGTGATTTACACTTCACCTTGATTCACTACTCGCAGTGTATTCTGTTAAAAGTTATTCCACAGACACTTCTGGTCTACACGCTCGCCTGAGATAAAGTGAACGATGGCCGTTCTCTAAGCATCGCAGAACCCTTCAGCTCATCACCCGTGACTCCGTGTCTCCATTTTGCCGCGGCCATGCGCGCCTTATTCAGCAGTCGGCCGTTAAGCATGGCCGTATCGTCTGCCCAGTGGGTTTCACCGCAAGTGTTGCACAAATTTATTTGAATGCTCGATCACATGGTGCATATTTAAAATATTGTATTGGACCTTTGTAACAGAACGGTTACAGTTTCGAGGGGTGAATCGATTAGCTTGGGACCGGAGAGAGTACCAGAGCTGAGCCAAAAAGTTGAGCACGTTATTTTGGGACCTTCTACTCTTAGAGTTACCTCTATCAAAGATAAATACTAAGATGAAACTGTCGGAAGAAAAACTTTTAATTTTAGTGTCCTCTTTCACGGTCCCTTTCATCCAATGAATACCCCCAGTATGCAAGGTAATTTTGTGGTTTTGCTGCCCCCTCGGTACAGATGAAATTTTGCGCGCTTTTTTATCAAAACAATCACACCAAAATCAGAGATGTCCCATTTGTTTGATTATTCGATTAACAACTAATCGATTATTTTTTGTTCGCTGTGATGTCATTTTTCCACCAATGAGAGTGCAGCACATGTTTGAAACGATCTGTGATGATCCTCTGGAGAAGTTAATGCTTATATCGGCATGATATAACCGATTACAAATATTTTACTTTTCGGTTCGTTAATCGATTATTCGATCATTCGAATGAAAATCGGCCATCACTAGATGAATGTGAAACGTCATTTCAAATATAAGGACCGTACATAAATAATGATACAATTTGAAAGGGACCGGGACTAATCACAAATTACGTCCCCACGGTAACTGCAATAAACACGAGTGTTCACCGGTTGCCTCTATGGTTTAATCATATCGAATGATTAAAAATTAATACTCTCTTTCTAAAAAATAAGCATCTGATATTAATCCCAGTTTAATCAGGGTTGATTAGATTGAAGATTATCTTTATTGAATAAATTTTAATCATTTTTGATTTCTATTTTAATAATTTTTGATTGAGTTTTAATCTTTTTTGATTATATATGAGTATTGAAAAAGAAATAAATTAAATACTGGAATGATTATTTCAAATTTAATCATGCATGACTAGTGCCGAAGTATTCATGGCTCGGAATCAATAAGGTGAAGCGGGAATCTGCATACTTTTTAAGCTTTTTTTATTTAATTTATCTTTTAGTGTAGATACTATAGATCAGTGCACGGTCCCTAACCTCACTTTTTGCTTCCTATCATTTTGTCTGTGAGTAAAAGAGATGGGAACGAATGGGAGCCAAAACAAACCACCCAAAGCTGTCAAAATTTACGGGAGAGGGAAGAGTGCGGCAAATCTTCGTGTACTGATCTATAGATTCCATATATGGATATACACGGATAGAAATCTCCTTATACCTTTTGGCAAATTTCTATTGCTGATTATTCATAAAATGTATAAGTCAACTAGTAAGCAGACGCCTTGCAAAAAGTTAATGAAGATCATGTGTCAAATGAAATGTATAAGCGCTCACACATACCTTTTATGCCTTCTTATAGGACCTATGCGGTTCGTCTTATGGAATGTATGAGGCTGATGTTTTGGCAAAAATGTATAAGTGAAACACATGAATAAAATAATTGATTTTCGTTTCGTGTAGTTAAGCGGAGGCAAAGTATACTGTATAATGTATAATTGTCAATACCGATGTATTGATGTCAAAATAGAATGTATTGACAATACGATTATTGTCAATAAAAGCTATCGTGTGGGTCCACTTTAAAGGGAGAGAATGCAAACTTAGGCTCTGAACCATTTGGCGAATTTTTTAACTTTTGGTTAAAATTTCACATATGGAAAGTTATGGCTTAACCCTGCTATCCGAGCATGGTTATTTCTGATCGACAAGAAGTTAAATTTTGACGACCATGGCTCGAAAACCGGTCGATCGACAACACGGGGATTTTCGAACATAAGAAATAAGTTTCGAAATGTCACTTTTAACCACGAGTTAAATTTAAAGCCTAGTATACAGATCGAAGCGAAACGAAATTTGAAGCACGCGAAAACTAATGAAATTTCGCTAGCGAAAAAGGTTGTGAAAAAGTTTTTGTGGAACATTTTCCAGTTTCCTTTTTTCGCAGTTTACAGTTCATGTGAAACGAAATCGATCAGTTTACACCGAGGTTTACACCTCCGGTGAAGTGAAAATCTGACAGATATGCTCTTTCTCGAAACGTCAACTTTTCGCTTAGCTGCTGTTCTTTTCGCGAGCGCTGCATGCGTGAAAAAAGTAAACGTAAGCGAAAAAGATGCGATCCACAAAATTCGGTTTCACTGGATCGTATCTGTTTACAGTTCAAAGCGAAGCGAAATATTTGCCAATTGCGTTTTTCACGCAGGTAAAAAATGTAGTATTTTGTATGAGATTTTCGGTTCGCTTCGATCTCTATACAGGCCTTAACTCGGTAAATAGTTCACAGCCTTAGCATAAAAATGTCGATGTTGTTCATTTGTCAAATTGTCACATGTATTTTTCGCTTCCTTGTTTTATTTATGGTAAATATTATTGTTTTCAAATAAAAATAAAAATTGTTTCAGGAATGTTTTTTAATTATTTTATTTTTTATGAAAATTATTTTAAAAAAATACGTACAATTTCGACGTTCATTAGGATGAACTCGTGCTGCTTATAGCTGATCATATCTAGACTAACATTTGAAAGGGGCGGAAGAGCCTAAATGTAAACAACCCATATTTTGCCACATATAGAGAGAACAGTTCACAAACTACTCGATAAACACGAAAAAGTAGAAGAAAGCATCATTTCAAATCATCAAAAACGTTTCCTTTTACACTGGAGTCGCTTTTTACGCGGTTGTTTTTTACACGGTTTTTTTTTTACGCGGTTTTTTTTACGCGGATTTCGGAATTTACGCGGTTTTTTTTTACGCGGATTCCGGAATTTACGCGGTTTTTTTTTACGCGGATTTTGGTTTTTTTTTTACGTGGATTTCAGAATTTACGCGGTATATCGCTTTTTACGCGGTTTTTTCTTACACGGTCTTTTTTTACTTGGTTTTTTTTTACGCGGATTTCGGAATTTACGCGGTTTTTTTTACGCGGATTCCGGAATTTACGCGGTTTTTTTTTACGTGGGACGTATAACCCGCGTAAAAAGCGACTCCAGTGTATATGGCGTATTTCCAATTTTCAACTCTATGATGCATCGGGTTGTTACGCCTTGCACCAAAACTACGAATTATATTGTTTTAATATGCCAAACGTACTGATTCTGTGGTATATCCAGTATTTTACGATCACTTATGGTCGCCACAATCTGGCTGAGTTTCTGGTAGGGAACATAAGATTTGAAGTTTGGCTTGTGTTGTTTGACGTGTAAACGCAACCCAAACGTCAAATCATATGTTCCCTACCAAAAACCCAGCCAGATTGTGGCGGCCATAAACACTCGTAAAATGCTGGATAGTTACGCCCGATTCATTTGAAATGCATCCGATTGATATTTCCCGTGTAAATAACGAACAAAAAGAAGGCCAAAGACGGGTGTAATTCCACTCTCACAAAATTTGCGAACAAAGAACCAAGGCGGAACAACAAACAAAAATTCCCGAGGGTGTATTTCCACGG